TGATATGATTATGAATACACGATAATTCATTAGAAACACTAATTAATCAAATACAAAAATCAAGTAGTTTACTTAATTTGATATAAATAAGGAAACCCATCTTAAAAACTGGCTGCCATCCGGATTCTGTCCATTCGAAATTTTATCCAAGATCAATTTAATCAAAATCATGCCACTTGTTATGATATGTAGGCCTACACAGATTTTGACCAACTACGATTTCTCTTTACAGATATTTGATTCACCATGGGGCGGACATTAATGCTCGATCAGAAAGTGGAGACACATCCTGCCACCTAGCGGCATATAGAGGCTATCAGCAAGTGGTACAGATATTGATAGAAAATGGCGCCAGTATTACAATCCTTAACGATAAAAGAAGAACATGTTTACAAGAAGCATTACACAGTGGCAACGAAAATCTAATTTATTACATGCACACAGTTTATGATATTTGTAAGTGCATGGATTATTTTTCACAAATACCCATACATGTTCAATAATATACAACATGGTCAATATTGCTTGAGACAGAATGTGTAACATCTTACGAACATTTGACGTCATAGGTGTTAGGTCAACTTGGACCCTTTGTTACCCTGAGCTAATGCCTGGTAAAGGGTTGACTCCCCTCAATGATGTTCCTCGTTAGGTGTAGGGGCCCTTTTCAAAGAGATCCACAATACCAGACAGAAATTTAAAAATGGGAAAGGGGGGCTCAATTTTCGGTGGCCCTTTTACATGTCGGTCAACTAAGTTTGTGATTTTTTTTATCCTGGTAACTTTGTCAGGTGTTTAATTGCGTATGGCTTAGCGAACTGTTATTTCTTCAAATAGATTTTTAATTTCGTTTTCGTTCTCTTTTTTTCAGTGTCTATTAGCAACTCTATGAAATCGAAAACGGTGCAAGAAACTGAACTATATTGTGCTAACCAAGACCGACAAGACTGTGATAGCTTGGAAAGAAACACTCTAGAGTCATTGGATTCCAATGACCATAGTGGTAGCAGCATACTAACTACTTCCGGTGGTAGCTCGTCATACCAATATTCTTTTGACTCCAGTGACTCTTCAAGCTCGTTAGGCAACTCTTTTAGTACAAAAGCTACGTATGGAAGTGACACCACTAACAACTTTAAAATTCGTGAGTGTGATCGGTGTTCAAAAATTTCTAACTATGAACCACATGTGGAATGTGGCTGTTCAGGTGACGGTCAAATTGTATCACTAAGAGAACCAACAGAGTCAGTAGATTTTTCTTACAATGATGACTCTTCGATCCAGAACAACCTTTCTATAGGGCGATCTAGTCCACCCATGAGACTTAGTTATTGGAATATATTTGAGTGATAACGCATACAATATACAAATGGGATCTAAATGTAGGCGGATGAAAGTTGATGCACCATTTCTTGTCAAATGGACAAATTCGTCGCCTTTCCATCCTAACCTCAAATATTATTTATTCAATGCTTTGAACTTATGCCTTCCAATGCAATTTTTAAAATAAATGATTTATATATCACTTTTACCCAGCAAAGTAACCTTTCAGACAAGAGTAGACCTACTAATCTTACAAGCAATAATAGGCTTGTTTAGTAACAAGTAAATATTCCTTTCATTAGTCCAAACTAGAGCAGATAGTAGTTAGTAGGCCCTAGTGTGTACAACACCATTTCATTGCATTCGGAAATTAATCCGACGAATCAATTGTTATTGCAATATCTTCTTGTAAAAATGTCGGTTGTCAAAGCTTTTTCATGGGACATTGCACCCCCTCCCCCTCTTGCACACCTGGAGCTACGGACTTGGAAACTATGCAGTGTGCAATAAAATAACCTTTTCCACGACAATGACATTCATTATTTTTGTAATGCCATTATCACACGATACCTAAGTTTCTTGTCCATCCGAACGTCTTCCATTTTTCCATGTCAGATCCTTCGACCTGTCGACAGGGAATCGAAAGTTATCGACCAATGCAGGGATCAAATCCTGCTTTGATTCGGATAGATATACTCTCATGAACCCGGATATTTGAATATCACATTATTTACTGTGTTTCTTATCTGATTTGTGTTTAAACTGTGATACATAAAATAATTTATTTGTTATTTATACAGTGTGTGTTTGCTCATGTGTTTATTTATGTTATGTTAAAGTTATGATGTCATAAATTTATTTCAATTTTGTGTCACTTGTATGTTGATGATTTAGCTCACTTTTAAGGGAAGTAACTCATGTTACTCATATTCCGTTAGACTTTTAAGGACATACTCCATTCCCAAAATAGAAAACGCTGCTCAAAGTTACAAAAATAAAACGAATGGAGTTTTAAGTCTAACTTCCTGCACCTACATGGGCTAAAGCTATGCAGTGAAAAGCGGCATTTGCGCAAAAAGCCCACAGCGAAGGCAGCAGGATCAGTTTTACGGAAATTGCCGAGGATTGTCGAATGGCATTAGCCTATCATTTCAAAATTAGAGGGATTATTAATGCACGGAGACTTTGCTTCGCAAATCTGAATAATGCATCGTGTCAAAACCACACCCCAATTCACCATACTTCCTTATCATAGTTAAATAAACTCGAAATCCGAACAGCATATTTTTGAAACGTTGGTGCATGTGAAAACCGGTATGAGATGCACGATGATTAAAATGCAAACCTGGATAATCATTTTCGTATATTTTCAAACGAAACATCGAGATCAGCATTTTATTGCGATTATCGTTTGGCACACCGTCAGATTACTCTCCATTCCTTTTGAGTAGTTAAAATTCCAAGAACCAATATGGGAGGCTTGAGGTCCAAAATAGAATCTCAGATGATTTTTCATGAATTCATTAAATATTTCAGCATTGCCAAATGTCTGCTCGGTGTAGGGTCCGAAACATCTGTCTTTATTCCAGCCTCAAACACATATTCTGACAGTTGACGCCTGGACTAGAGTCAGAAAAAATAGGTCCTGTTTAATGGAGATTTTCCATATCCATATCCATAGTGTTAGGCATCACCATTTCTTCAGTCTTGTTAGTATCACGTGACTCTGTGACCTTGGAAGTTTTGGCTGCACACGCAGTTTAAAATGACCGATGTGATATGATCAAGAAAATGATGGTATGACTAAACTACAAAAATCTTCTTCCAAATATATCTGGGTTTTGCGGATCATACTTCGTGATATCATAACAACAAACATCATGTTTGGTTTTGTTAAGTTTATCGGATCATACATCGCGATATCATACATCAAGCATAGTGTTTGATGTCTTTATTTTAGCGCATTATCTATTAGTGATATCTTAATATAATACTAGTTTAGTCTTTATTTTCATCCTTGATATAATATGACACATTCACACACTATGACTAAACTACAAAAATCTTCTTCCAAATATATCTGGGTTTTGCAGATAAAAGGTATCTAAATGTTTAAAACCCCCGAGATGCGGAAAGTCTTAATTTTACAGGGCCTATTTTATTCTGTCTTTAAACCAGCCGACATCTGCCCAAATAGCTATCAGAGGCTAGAATAGAGACATATAGGGCTGACAGAGCAGCTCTTGGTCTTCAGACCAATTTGTTTTTCCAGGGTCCCCCACCCTACTTAATCTCAAAAGTCAAAATCTGGGACAGCTTCAGTTCGCCTTCGTAGAAACGCCACTGTACTGTAACAAATAACAATGTTAATATCCTTGTTACCATTATCACCTATCGCGTAATATAATCGGTATCGATATGAATGTCACTTCCTTGTATATCTTGATCTTCAAGTCGAACGAGATTTCGACGTGATGTAGATAGCTGATATAAAGATGTAACTTAAAGGTTGCAAATATATCTTCTTGTAGCCTTTTGTATGTGTATCGCGCCATTTATAGCTTCTATTTGCATCTTTCCAAGTTTATGCCAGATGTCTGTCATTATGAAAATGCTTAACCGTGTATGACGTCACTATCGCAATAGCTGCTAATGTTGTATGTGTTATCTCCGGGAAGACAGGAAGTTTCCCAGAAACTACGAATGGACACATGCGTTCTGTAGATAAATATGACACTCTACTTCCGTTATGATTGTGTGTCACATGTCTGATATATAATTCAGATTGGCTGCTCAACACTGTTACGTCACAACTCGGAAACTTGACTTGTTCAAGGCTACCCGAGTTTTCCAATAAAAAAATAGACTTCCGAGCAAAATTTACAACTTTGGACTATACGTATTCTCCATATTTCTCAGGAGTAACGAATACAGCAAACAATAAGACAATTTTATTCGTTTTAATGACACATCATACAGTTATTTCTTCAAATGCCCATAACATTCATACGTTTAGAGATATGGTCTTTAGGAATAAAGAAGTCATTATTACAACGTCATCTATAAGTCTCCGTTTACTCTGATAGAGGCTATAAACGCCGAATCATTTTCCTTTTTGAATTATTTTTTAATCCGTAATCTGTAACACGGAGTTCGTTATTCACCCGAAGGTTAAGGCACTGATTGCGTCGCCTACAGGGAAAATTCCGAATGAACAACCAGGAAGCAAGTCCAGCGATTCCGGGGTTGAACAAGTGTAAATAATTGCTGGTAAACAAGATATCCCCGAGGTCTTCATTCCATTAGCTTTAAAGGGATAGTAGAGAGGTTTTGTAAATTTTATACGTGTATTTTCGACACTGAAAGCATCAATGTGAAGCATTCCCATTTTCAATAAGACGTTTGTGGTTCCTGCAATTCCAGAAAAAAAAAGTGTTCGATGACGTCACTAATCGCAAAATTTTCATTTCTTCAGAAGAGGCATTTCACGCTTAGTGACATCATCAAACACTTAGTTTTTGAAAAATTGTAAATTGATGCCCGAATTTGACTATCGCGACAAAGTCTTTCAGACATACATATCACATTTTTATACCATTTATAGACTCAAATTAACCCCACCCCGTTCAAAGAAATAGCGCATCTGTCCCTTTAAATGACGAAGTTTTTGGTTTTTTCTCATTTTATTATCAAAAAGGGTCAATGTATCACAATAACAATAACAAAACATAACAATGAAAGTATATATACACAGGAATGATATTGTGTTTTATCGTATACTGTTCTATGTAACAGTAAAATTGTAAGGAGTAATTTCTTTCGGAATATGGTTCAGAATTTAAACTATATAATCATCTTTCTTTGTCCAAATTATTGTTAAAATATATGGCCCAATTTTTAAAAAAAAAAAAACAACTTTGAAAAAAACTGTGGTCAAATTGAATTTCACTTCGAGGTAGAATTAAAAGTGGAAGTAGATCGAATGAAAATAAAACTTTAGATATTTTGTTACTGGTTTTTGTTTATCGTGGATAATTTTTTCAGAATCAATGAAGTAGCCCACAGTCGAAAACGAAACGAATTATCTAGAGTTGTTATTTTAATCAGATGGGATCAAATTCCATCTCCAATTCGACCTCAATACAATTCATTTGACAACTAGGGTAAAAAAACAAAACAATTACAAGGTAAAACAACACCATTCATTATCAAAAGATATAATTATTCCTATTCTTGTTTTTATCTATCATGGAGTATCATTTTGCGACCGGTCACTAAAATGCAGTCAATGGGGTCAACGATCTGATAGCAACAAAGATCTAGATGTTTCGTTTCCGGTACATTTTCCATTCATGATCTGACGCAATTGCTATATACCTCAAGGTCTAGGTCATTGAAATTAGCCAATTATATGCCATGTTAAATAAAATACATTGCTAGTCTGCTTTTTTAGTGTTTTCGAATAGCTACTATGAAAAAGTGTCAAAATTCGACTGAACATAATATTATAAGAAATTTACCAGACCATGGATAGTGAGTACAGTAACCCAAATAGAAAACGAAGCATCTAGAAATAAGTAATAAATAGTTGAAGGGATTAAAGTATGAAAACAAAGGGATTACAAATATGCAATTTAGGCTAAAAGCTAATCAAATAAATCCAATATCAGATATGAATATTAAAATGACACTGCGCTTTGATTTACAGGTTATAATTTGAAATCCTAGTTTGGAACAAAGTAAGAAATAATCCGAAAAGTGAAAAAAAAAAAATGAAAAGCGAACTATTTTTTTTTTACAAAACTGAAATTTACATAATGTAAAATATCTCTTGATAATGAAAGACATAAAATTCAGTGGGATAGTTTTACAAATCAGCAAACCGGACAACAGGGCAAAGCGAAAAGGATATCAAATGTTCTTGATTCTACGATCTTAAAAATGCTTTTACTAGTACTGTATAATATTTTTTCTAAAGTTTATGATATAAATCCTGAAAAAGTCTGATATTAAAAAGGATAATTTACTGGTTTGCAGCGGTTTGAAGAACCATCCCACCTTAATCCTTTAAGTCTAAAAATGCTGATTCCGACACCAAGGCATGCACATATTCAACTATAACCAACACCCTTGTCAAACTATGAATCCATAACTAAAGCAAACCTGAGAAATCATGTCTTTATCGTGTCCGAATCTGTACCTCGTGTATTTGCTTTTTCAATTCTTAACTGTTTCGATAATCCGGCATCGTTTCACCCTCCGGAAAACGTATACGGAAACAGTACGCCGTCTATTCGCACCACAATCACGACTAAAGTATAATTCGGTACTTTTCTCAACCTTATAAATCATTGAGAGAAGAGCCGGCACAAATTGACAATTAAATGTGTATTTACCAAAAATATACTTCCTTTCATGCGTAAGACAATGGCGAGGTTTTAGTTATGTTGACTCTCCAAAAATGTGGAATGAAACAAAATGAAACGAAATTGTCGGACATTCTATTGACCGAATCACCCCGTTTATATTGTGGCTGAGATTTCTGTGTTTCCAACGTCACATCGGACACTCACAAACCGACGTGTCTACCCGCTGGTTTTCCTATAGTGCTCAAAAGGCTAACCGGGTATCCGTTTTAAAGTTAATGAAAAAAATTTAATTCAGGAATTCATGTTTGATATAATTTGCAGTAAATTTTCAAATTCAAATATAAGCTGTAATGATATTTGATGGGCCTATTAATGAATATCTTGGACACTTATAACTTAAGATGCAACATTCCGAATGGAATTTCAAAAACCATTTCAGCGGGAAAACTGGTCGTTGCGAGCAAGGGCTATAAGTGTCCATCAAATTCATACATAGGCTATATACCTCCTTTCAACGCCAGGTTTTAGCAAAAGTGTCAAATATTTAGCATAAATAATTCCCTAAATGATTAACCGGATATCAAACGGAAGCGTGGAATATTCGAATAGTGAAATTAGAAACCGTCCTTTTGAGCACTAGGTTTTCGTATAATTACATAGTAATTGCATTATATAATAATATACCTTACAGTAAGAAGCTTAAATATAAACAATGTTTCAGTATATATTTTCAGTGCTGAAATTTGAGATCAGATTTGTCAAAATGTTATATTTGTCTACAATCTATTTCAAAGTTATTGAAACGAATGTCAAATATGTTTTTAAGATCTGTGTTAAACGGTATATTTACTGTTTCTTGACCACAATAGTTTGTGGACGTCGATGGCGGTGGTGCATTCTGGCAACTCCTGGATGACGAGCTCTGTACTGACGTTCATTTCGTGCAATTTTACCCATAACTTGGATGACAACATAGCGTCTATTTCGTGTCAAAGGTTCTTCGTTTTGGAGACTTGAAACAACTGTAAACATAATGGCAGTCAAAAATTAACACATTTTACATGACGCCATATTATTTGTCAATTTTTGTTTAAATTGTGTCATCTTTTAGCAAAATCCCACATTTTGTCATTGTTATCAAGAAACAGGTACTACGTGACATGCTTTGATTGGATAAAGATGACTTCATATTAATGCGACTGTGATAAAAAGATTACACTTCTGACGATAAGCATCAGAGCATAAAACGAAATTGTTATATAATTTTAATTAAATTGACAGTACCCGGCAGGAATTTGCATTATATTTGTTAAAGACTTACTTCGATCGATAGCATTTGGTAATCTTTCTTCTTCTTCGTTACTAGACAGTAAAGGTGCAGCCAATATGACTTGTGAAAACAGAGAAACAGCCATAATGGCAACAATGATAACTTTTTGTAATTCCATTTCTGAAACGAACAGAATAATGATTTAGTTATGGTCCAAGCGAATGTTAACCCTGTTTTATTCGGAGGGGCTTCGTGAGCGTCACGTGCTATAGAGGCGTATTTTCTATTAGGTTTTTGGAATAAATCAAAAGAACAAACGAATGTTTATGAGTCTCAATAAGAACAAACACCTTACCCATTTCACAAAGTCATTTTAAGATTGTGTAGGACAGAAATTTCAAAATTGTGTCAAATATTACGGAACCATTGAATCTTGTTATTGAACCTTGATTTATGCTGTAAACCGACTTCAAACAACGATTTTGGTTGGTTTAGAGAAATTATGCTGTCAAAAGTATGTCGCCAGTTCAAAGTTCAATGGAAATCCTTGTACACAAGGATCTCTCGGATCCTATAGTCATAGATCGTTATACAGCTTGTGAATTTTAATTGAGCTCATATTATATTTAGCTTAAAATAAGCACACGTTGAGCTCTGATCTTTGATAAAGATGGGATACACCAGATAGCCGAAACTTGTATCTTAAAGTAAGCTACACGTAATATTAAGAATCGAAAATTTAAAAAAAAAACAACATAAGCAGTCAAAAATAACAATGAGTCCAAATTGTTTTAAAACATTATGAATCTAAAATTCTTACCTGAAAGATTGAAGTTTGCTGTTAATTGTCGTTTGATAACTGCAAGACCGGTGAGCAATCAGCTGTTCTAAGACCAGTGATCAGCTGACGGCAACCGCACGCCCTTTTATTTCATTTTACACCGGAAAAACTCATTACCACCAACTGATAAGGCTTTAATTCATAGGCTCATTTTGTATTCATATCTTTGTTGGTTTATGGGTCACATCATCTCAGTTTCACCGGCATTAAAAATTCATTGATAAAACATCACGCGTCATGGATCCGATGCTTTGGCCCTATTACTCTTGGCTGTGATTGGTTGGCTGCCGGAAATTATTGGGATGAAGACGGTGTTTATTTCAAGGTCATTCTTATTCGTTATCAGCTTCATTCATAAAATGTTTTGCGTTGGAAAACAACACCGGAAGTGGATAAACAGGAACATCTGGCCAATCTGTTACGTTTGACATCGCAATATTCAATCTTTTTATTTCCGGTTTAATAGTGAACTGAGCAATTTTTGTCATTTTTTGATCCAATTGTATAGAAATGTGTTATTTCACCCATAAAAACCCCTTTTTAATGGATTCGTATGTAATCGAAAAATCGTTAGAGCGAATTGTTTTAGAGCATAGATTTTAATTCATCAGACCGCGCTTCTTGAAAATTTGAAGAATAAATTTTTTAGTTCGTTCCATGTAAATTTGTGATCCATAATATTAGTAAGCTACAACCACGGTTGGCAGTTTTTTTTCTACTTCCGTTTGGGTAGCTTGTTTTTAATGCCAACCCCTTTACTGACTCACTACAAACAGTCATGGTGAAAAATTGCGTGTGCTCTGTCCAATGTCAGAATGTGTCCACTTTCAACTCGCCTATTTGTTATTAACTGGTCAGTGCTTATCCCAATGACAGTTTTCTGAGGTCAAAATATTGCTGCAGCCAGCATGTTATCATGGTGTGGCATTGTGACGCTAAAATTTGAAATTGTCACAAATTTTATACATGGTTAACATCATGCCATGACACATGAAAAACATTAATTTAAATGTCAAATAATAGACCTAAAGTTCCGATTGACCATTAAAGAATTTATATAATAATTATTATAATGCCTCTCAATGGTCAGGTTAATCCATTTCAAATAATTTATCAAAATTATCATGGTACAAAGTACAATTAATTTCCAGGTCAAAATGACGTACATCATTTCAGAGCTATCATATGTTAATAATTCTTGATATAACCTGTGGCCGGAATGATGGATGAATAGATAGATGGATGGATGGGATACTGGATAGATGATGGATGGATGGAATGAAATAATGGATAGATAGATGGGATGATGAATGGATGGGGGAAAAGTGGATAGAATTGGGAAAAGCGATCAATGAATGTGTGGATGGGTCGTAAATGGATAGATGAATGAGTAGTTGGGTGGATAAGGGAAGGGTAGGCATCAATGGGTGGATGAATGGTTGGAGAAGTTGAATGGATGAACGTAATTGTGGATGGGTGGATAGATGAAATAATTGATGGATGGGTGGATGGATAGATGAAATAATGAATGGATGGATTGATAGATGAACTACGAGAAGGTGAGGCCATGGATAAAGGAAGGATGGATGGAATTTGGGCAATCATTGAATGGGTGGAAGTATGGATAGATGAATGGACTCGAGAAGTAAAATCAATGGATAGGGTGTTTGATTGGATAAATGGAATAATGGAATGGTGAATGTTCAAAGGGAAGTGGATGCGATCAATGGATGGATGAATAGTTGGATAAGTAAAGGAATAGCGATCAATGAATGTATAGATGGATAGATGAATGTATGAATGGATAGATGAATGTATGAACTCTGAGAATGGAATGGTGAAAGATGGGTGATGAATGAATAGATGAATGTGTGAAAAAAGATAACAATTTGATAACAAATAATTGTTGATAATGTAGTGCATTAATGACGCGTGTTTCATTCACTCTCTCATAATTCCTTTAATTATTCTGTTTCTATAATTTCATTCCTTCACATAGATAATAGTTTTTGATCTATAATAGCTCAACTTGGTATGCGAATGTATATTAATGAGTTGTTTGATAAATCAGATTTTTATGACAATCCGTCGAGGGGTTTCTGTATTTATAGCCTTTACATTAATAGTTGTGAATGAAAATTATTTTTATGAATGATAGAAACTTTAATCGTAGTTTCGTGAATAGTAAGCCCACCAATATAGGGTGCGACCTCATTCCCATTCATAAATACAGAGAGTATTTGCTTCGTAACACTAGAATTGTTACGGCTTTCACACCCCCTTTTATTCCTTTGTTATAAAAGTCGTTGGGATTATCCCTTACGACGAAGAAAACGCAAAATGTTTACTCCTGACCTAGTTTTTTTTCGTCACTAAAATTGTTCAAAAGTGCAATGCTTTAAAATGTAACCAATTTTGAGATTAGAGTGGTTGAAAGGTAACAAGTTACAATTCAAATTTGAAGTGTATACTATACACGCGGTGTCAAGATCGAATAGAATATATGAGGCACTGGCGCAGTCAGTTACAATTCCAGAAATATTAGGTGAAGGGGTTGGGAGAAGCCATAGAATTATCACAGGAAAAGAGACTCACAGCACCTAGACATATAAGAACTCATTGATTATAAATTTGAAAAGGAAGAGGGGGTAAGGCGGGACCAGCATTTTTTAGGAGGGCGAGTGGGAAGAGGGTTGGGGTATACGAACGCCACTGTCATAACGACCAAAAAATTATATATAGCCTATAAATTTATATCTCCATTCTATTTTGGCTGACACCCTGTCATAGTCTAGGCTCTTTGCTCATGTATTTGACATGGCGTGTAATATAATAAAAGGTTTTTCTTTTGCTTTAGGCGGAGTCCTGAATATTCAGACACCCATTTGTAACCCATATTTAGGCGTTGCCTGCTACAGTGACACGTAGAAATTGTAGCAAGGGGCATTGGACGTCTTTGTGCTTGCGCTGTGTAGAAAATTCATTATTTTTTTGAAAAGAACATATTTCTGCCACCGCAGCTCCGTTTGTACCTCTGTTTCACTCAAGAGTGTCAGAGGGTAGCGAAATCAACTTAATCATTACTATATTAGGGACAGTATTGTCTTTTTTATGGGCGCTTTGACTGGTCGAAGAGTCCCAAAAAGCAAGGATGATTAAACTTATGGATAAGTAACTCTTATCGGTACAAAGAAATGACCGCATTGTACCATTTGAACTTGCTTAATGATCTATAAGTTTTAAGAAGTAACGGTAATAAGTAACTACCACTGAAGTTTCTTTGAAAATAGCCAGTGGCAAGTATATTTCATCCGTTTTATGTCAGGCCTGGCCTTATTGGCACAAAGCAATGTTTTATAGTTTTAGATAAAACTTGTGGTTGTGGTCTGAAGTCTTGTTTCTCTGAAAAGGGAGGTGACAAAAGTCTTTAGTTTAATAAACTAAAATTTCTTGAACTTACAAAGTCATTATCACTTGCCCTTTTCCTTTATTTAGAATTTTACAACTCAACTTTTTTCTTATTTTGTGTGTTGATGTAGTAGTTCTGCTTTTCGGGTAAATTTAGGAGAGACCCTGTCCCAAGCATTTCATGAAGCTGCTTGGATTTTGTATTTATATAACTTAAAAGTTGAAATAATCACTAAATCTCAGAAATGAACTCGGCAAGATGATACTGATTTATCTTTTGATATATGCTTTATTCATCTCAATCAATAAGGGTAAGTAGCCTAATAATTGTCTGCTCATAGACAACGAATCTTTATCAATTTATCAAGGGAATCTCTTACTAGTAGATGTATCGTGTTGTTAAACTTTTATTGTGACTGTGTTGTGTTGGCTTATCGCACAGTCAAAATATTAATTGTACCCCAATTTGACTGATGAATTTTTAGTAGCCAGTACACACTTAATATATCACTGATTTCATCACTTTAGGTTAAATTTTCAACAGTCAGATTTCTTGTGGATACACTGGAATCGAGCCCTGGCAGATAAACTAGTTTATACGATTATTTCACTAAAAATAAGTTAAAATGGTTTCCTTGTCCTGTTACCATTACTTTTTTGTGATAAAAATTGATTTATCAAATGAAAATGTCTATGAATGTTGTATGTTGGAAGTCACTTGGTCACAAGACATCCACATCACTTGTTAACATTTTATTTATGTATTCTCGGCTGTCAAAGTCAAGCTGTTTTTTTTTTTTTTTTGTGTTTTCTCTATAACATAGGGCCTAATCGTTATATAATTTTTTAAATTGTGATGTATATTTTATCATCTTTTTTTATCATCTTTTTTCATTTGATGAACATTTAAAAAATTTTTCTTTCTGTTTTTTAAATTTATTGCTGAGACATATGTTCCAATTTTATTTAACACCTGTCAAAATAGGTGAGGAAGTTTACCATTTTTGAAATTTGAGTATTTGTGTGGTATAAAAATTTCACCAACAAATATTCAAAATAAAACTGTCATCTTTAGACAAAATAAAGGTTTTATGGATTTATAGAAAATAATCCCCAGCGACAAAAAGCGACAGCAAACCTTTTATTTTTTCAAAACTGGTATGAGGATAATAAATTGGCCAATGCAGTACCATTAGGCCTAATGGTTAATAATAACATTTAGACTAGTTAAGGAAATAGAGCTAAGCCTCAGTAATTGAGCCTACTTATAAAACTGAGTAAAAAATTCTTTGATGGATATTTTTCCATTAAAGTGATACTACGTCAAAGAATGAGTTTTCAAGAATGTCAATATGAGTATATATTCATCAGTGAACTTACCTGGTGTCATAAAGTTACAACAGAATCCCTGTAAAATCTAGAAAATTGAAAAATTCATGAAACTAATTACTGAAAATTATTGAAAAATTAATCTTAATATCAAACGTTTTTCAATAATTAATTGCATTTTCATGGATAATTACTAAGTTTTTTGTATTTATCAGATTATATAAGGATCCTGTTATGTTATTTATGACACCAGGTATATCTATTGATGAATATATGGTATTGTGTCATTCGAGGGTTTATAACAACACATTTTTAAAGTTATAAATGAGGTTCTCTTCAAAAAGAATGTCAGCATACAAAAAACATGAAAATTTCAGAAGAGAGAGCTAGCCGCTCTTCAATTATGACATAAGTATAGTAAGTATAAGTATAATACCCAATAATAATATAAACAAGGCCAAACCAGGATGATATTGGGGTCTAATATGAATAAATATATATGAATATATATAACAATGGTCTTATAGGCCAAGTTTAAAATGTTTACATTTTATGTTAATTCTAATATTCCTTTAATTTAAAGGTTGAACTGAATCACGCATTAATCAAGGCATTACATTGATTATCTCATTATCCATGCAAAAAAGGGAGTACTATAGTTTTAAAGACTTAAAGAGTGTCATTTAATTTTGTTCTATTTCTTCTAATTATCAGGGAATGATGTGATATGTAGGTTTTATAACCTTGAAGCAGAATGTAGATATAGATTAGATGGTTTTCATATGGTCATAATTCAAGCTAAAATAGATAAATGTTCTGAACCAGTTCAAGTTTCTTTTCATATCACGGTAAATTTTTATTATGATTATTAACTGGGTATTGTGCATTGTGATGGGTGAACCAATGACCGCCATAAGAGACCAATACTGTTCCTTGGACAAATTTGTATAAAATTAATAATCCTTAAAGATGGGTTCCCTTATTTTTGTTTATGAAAATGGAAATGCTAATACTTATATGAATAGAAAGAAGAGATGTTCAAATGACTTGGAGAAAATTATCAGTTTGTCTCACATGTCCATAATTAATTCATAATTAGCTAATTAAATTAGAAGGAAAGTTTTTCGTTTATCCAGATTGTACTTACATGGGAACATTTATGATTAGTTAAAACTCTTAATTATATGCAATAAGAACATAATAATATGACTAATAATACATGATAATTCATTAGAAACAACAATTAATCAAATAGTTTGCTTAATTTGACACTAAAAAATAAGAAAAACCCATCTTTAAGACATTTAGGGGATATATTGACTGCAATAGCCAGTTTGTAAATGCCTGGAATTGATTTGATTGTGTGCTACCAAATACAGCCAATCAGAGCCCTCAACAGAAAGACTTAAATAATTTGGCTGTTGGTGCAATAGACGGTTATGTTTGGCTTTATTCGCTATTGTAAAATCCAACCTTTTTAGTTTCCATTTAGCCTTGTCATATTTTTATCATATCAATGTGCTGTGTAGCTCAATACATTTCATTTCATTTTGGTTTCAGCATGAACAGCCTAATATAGATTGGTCTGGTACATTCTCTAAAAGTCAAGAATCAAAGACTGTAGATGGGTTAGATGTGGATGTGGAGTTACAAGTCTTTCTGGCCTATGATGAAAACAGAGATTTATTTGTGAAGGTATGTTTGAATTTTTGTTGATTGGCCCTGGATTAGTCAGTTCTACTTATTTGGGATTCATGGAATCAACAGGAAACTGTTTGTTAAAACAAGTAGGAACAGTGTTCAAAATGGCGGACAAAAAAAATAAACAGATATATTTTATAAGGATAACCAGTTCAGTTTAAGGGATTGGCCAAACATCTTGGCATTGAGTTTTGCTGAATTATCTGTACCCATACAGCTGAGATGACTGGAATAATAACTTATTCAAGATCAACAGACTTTTATCTGTTACTTTCAGTAGTTATTACAAATGGTTATTTGTGGATTTTGTTTTTGAGTAATTTAGAAATTACCTCTCCAATTGGCAATTTTTGGATGATAAATGAGTTAGAATATCGTGTTTGCAGAACATACAGGGTCAGAGTTAGCATGAAATATATAGGCTTACAATCAACATAGTTTCAAATGGAAGGATCTGGCAAAAATGCATTCTGTCAGTAATAGCAGGAAAAATTCTTTAATATTTGATAACACCAATATAGTTAAAATCATGGAGCATAAAGATAGCCTAAACCAATCAAAATAAAATCACATTACATTTTCTGATCTTTTCAAGTTTTCTACCAAAGGTTTGTATGTTCTACAATTGATGTATTGGGCACTATTTTAACAGTGGTATTTCTATATTGCTCTATATTTGTTGTATTGAGAACTATTTTAACAGTGGTATTTCTATATTGCTCTATATTTGTTGTATTGAGAACTATTTTAACAGTGGTATTTCCATATCGCTCTATATTTGATGTATTGAGAACTATTTTAACAGTGGTATTTCTATATCGCTCTATAATTGATGTATTGAGAACTATTTTAACAGTGGTATTTCTATATCACTCTACAATTGATGTATTGAGAACTATTCTAACAGTGGTATTTCTATATTGCTCTATAATTGATGTATTGAGAACTATTTTAACAGTGGTATTTCTATATTGCTCTACAACAACTGTTGTTGTTTATTTAATCAATAATTTACTGTATTGTACATTTTATAACATATTTTTTGATAAAAATGCTATGTTCTATTAAACCACATTATCTCTGTTATTTTTATAATAAGTGCCCATATGTAGATCTATTTATACCAGACCCATAGTTGGCCCAAGGTTTTAGCAGGGTGGGGGTCATTATTTTTTGAAGAAGTATTCAACTATAGCCACATTTCATTTAAGTCATCTAAATTTTTCAAGTGGTGCAAAATTTTCTTAATAGGGGCCTGGCCCTCCTCTAGCTATGGGCCTGATTTAAACTCCTGATTAGTAATATTTCAGCAGAATGGAAGGGACAGTTTTTTTACCAGACGTACCTTTGTCTCAGAAACTGGATTTTTTAGCTAGGTCAATCAGTAATAGTGTTCACAGCTCACTGTGGAAATTTAAGCCTTCAAATCAATGTGTGTCGAGAATTATCTGCATTTGAAAGTTAAAAATATGAATCGTCTTTTCTTGGGCTCTGGAACATATAGAAAAACATCTATCAGCCAAGAGGCAAATAGTGAAAGCCATTCAGTGAAGAGAAATTTGTTATATTTATATTTTATATCATGCTAGAATAATATAGTTTGATATAATATCATTTTTTTCAGGCTGATTTTGAAGTATCTAATCAGAAAAAAGCATATTTTCTACATGATACTGTACATTTAAACACTGAAGATTGTATTGGATGTAAGTCTCATCTTTTTACTTTTCCTTACAATTTAAAGAAATATTACTTCTTAGAATGGTCTTGAACTTGGTCAAAAAGTGTATACAGGTGCCATGACTAAAGAATAGAATCTCTATATAAGACAATATATGCATCAAACGAAATAAAATGATTGAAAAACACTTCTAAACATATTTCAAAATTACTTAGTTTTATGGATTTATTAGATTATAGAGGGATTTTGTTGTAAAGTTTTGACACCAGGTAAGCCCACTGATAAAGAAAGACTCATTTTGGCCAAGTTTAAAAATTTCAATTTTTTGGTAATCTTAAAATAAGAGGTAGTATAACTTTAATTAGTAGTTTTGACTTTGAACACTTATAGCTTCTATTTGCACCATTCCAAATTACTCCCTGTAGTGTCTGTATAAACTGAGTCTGTTTATTCACAATAATCAATAACAATTGTTTAAAAAGAAGCTATAAGTGTTATGGATGCACATAAAAAGGTTAACAATATTTTTTTTGAATTGGTGTAAATGTGTTAAATAAAATCTGACGGTTGTTTCTTCATTACATTTCACAATGTTAACTTGTGGTATTTAGTCATGTTATAGAATCACATAGCCTGACATATTGTTTTGTTATTATTTTGTACAAACAAAGGATGATTTTTAAGGCCATGGTTCACCATTTTCGGAGATTTATGTGGGCCAAGAAAACTTGTAAGTAGTCTTGAATCAGAAATATTGTATAATAGCTCAGCTTTAAAAATACTTCAAACTAGAAATTTCACTTTTTATTGTCTTCTTTCAATAGCTAATCTTCTGACCGAAAATTATTTTATTTGATTATCCAGTCTTTATTTGTTCTGCATTATGGCGGAGTTAATAATTCAACAATTCCTGTTTCTTAGACTAATGTACAATTTACCGAAAATACTGAGTCATGGCCTTAAAACTTCTACTTTAGATCCATACACAGTTAATGCTTTCCTTATTATTATTGTTTTAAAATTTCAGTAAATAAAGCAGGCCAGATTGCAGTTGGTTGTTTATTAGCCTTATTACTGATAGCTAGTATTTTACTTGTTATATTGTTGTATCTTCGCTATAAACGCAAACGTCTCCAACGTCAAAGCCTGGTGTATGTTGATAATATTGAATCACCTTGTGATGTGATAGCTGCCTCACCACCATCAACAGAACAATCGTCAATACGATTTGATGTCCAAACACAACGAGTGAATCAAAATTCAACTTCAGTTATATAATGCGTACCCAAATATAGCTTCTCATCCGTTTCCATAGTGATATTTTGTGAATTTGTAAAATCATATGGTATTTTGTGAAAAATCATTGTAGTACTTTGTGAAATTTCATAGTGGTTCTTTGTGAAATTTCATAGTGGTATTTTGTGAAAAATCATAGTGGTACTTTGTGAAATTTCATAGTGGTATTTTGTGAAAAATCATAGTGGTACTTTGTGAAATTTCATAGTGGTATTTTGTGAAAAATCATAGTGGTATTTTGTGAAATTTCCTTGTGAAAAATCATAGTGGTATTTTGTGAAAAACCATAGTGGTACTTTGTGAAAAACCATAGTGGTACTTTGTGAAATTTCATTGTGGTATTTTGTGAAAAATCATAGTGGTCCTTTGTGAACAATCATTGTGGTATTTTGTCATCATTCTGTGTGGTTATGGATAAATTTCAGCAGATTTTTACTATTTTGCCAAAAAAAGGAAAGACTGATTTGTACAGTATTTCTTAATGAAAAGTTATTTTTTTAGAAGTTTTGTGGGGAAATATGTATTATTTATTGAATGTGTAATTTGTGTTTTACTATACATTCCAACATTGCTGCAAAATTCCTGTTAAAACAGTGCATTATATATAAGTATATTTATACCAAAAAGTATATTTCCTATAGCTATAATCAACATTTTGATCATCAATTTTGTATTGATTTGTATATTAATTTGCATTTAATATTTTGTGTGCCTTAGACAATATCTTACATTTATAAGAAAGTCTTTCAGAACACAAAACTGTGGATCATTCTAAAAATGGATGAAAAGACATCAAAAGTGATTCAATATGAAACATTCCTTAACAACACGTTGAGAGAAGACTTGAAAAAGATACTGGAAGCTCGTGATAAAATCCACAAGGAGACTTCTGATTATTTACAGTTAAAGATAGTGATTGAAAGACTACAGGAGAGTCAATTGTTAGAAGATGAACTCAAAACCAAGATAGATCTAGGCAACAGTTTCTTCGTTCAAGCCAAGGTGACAGACGCCTCTAAAATTTGTGTTGCCATCGGTTATGGCTTCTTTGTTGAATTCACTTTTGAGGAAGCTTTGAAATTTATTCAGAAGAAAACTACAAGGTTGTCAGAGCATGCTAATGTTTTGACACAAGATGCCTCTAGAATCAAAGCCAAAATCAAATTAGTTATGGAGGGTTTGAGAGAAATGCAAGGGTTGCCTGCTAAAAGTGTGAAGCCTTTTAGAGATATTTTATAATTATATATAAATAAATTAATGAAATAAATTCCGTAATTGTGTTGTTTTTTTATTTGCAGAAAAGTAGGATGTAAAACTCCATTCATTTCATTTCGGTTTTTTTATTAGTAGCTTTTATTTTTAATAGACACTTCAGTCTAGGTCTAACGACAGCCCTCTTGAGCTTTCTTCAAATTAACCTTTTGACTTAACGTGATGGCTTCTGCTTAAACAATAAAATTTCTACCCTCTCCAGCGTTGACAGTTTGATCTATTAGGTTAGATCAAAAGGCTAATTTGACACAAGTGGCTGGATTAAAAAATATAAGCTAGAAAAAAAATATTTGTCACAGTCTTCCTGTCGAAGGCTCTAATTTGCTGTATACGTATGCATACAATCCAATCAAATCACTGCATTTACAAACTTCCGTGAGTAACTATTAGCTTTTCACCCAATCTCCAGATTTGTTTTCCTGACCTGTACACATGTATGGTAACTAATGATGTCGAACTATAAAAGGAGGTCGTAACAGCTTGACAATGATGGTTACTTGCTGGGTGCACCCGGCCTTCTTAAAATCTTATTTGCTCAAATCATCTCATGAAATGCCGGTAAATCCTCAGATGCATTCTCTAAAAAAATTATTTTAATGCTGCCAGTGCCATTTCTAAACAATATGTTAGACGGCCGATAAAAGCTAAAAGCCATCTCAACCTCTTTTCAGGGGATCTATCATATGTTCATGAAGATTCGTTTCAATACAGTTCATATATCAATATTATCTGATTTGCCTGGTATGTTACTTTACTCAAATCAATACCTTATTTCATGCAACACTTCAGCCAAATATTTTATTCGATATTCCTATGTTTTACGATGTGACGTATATAACATATTGGCGGCGGAGGCGGGAGGGTCGCAATTGCACAGTGAAAATAAATGAGCGAACGCGGCGCGAGGCACACGGAGTTTCATATTATTGTCAAATCCCAATTCTCTTGATTCCCTTTTACTAGTTGAGAAACTCATTAAGTTATTTTTGAATTATTTCAAAACAAGATACAAAAGAAACCAAGAAGTTTATAGAATGGTTGTAAAAAAATTGAATGAAGGTCCATAAGAAAATAAATAATTATTTGATTTATGTATATAAAATTTGAAAGGCCGATAAAAGACAATATCGAACATAATATTCATATAACTAATATATATTATTACGATTAAAAATATGAATTTGAATTTGAAATTATTGATTTATGAATAGTCTCAATTTGTGAATATATAAGAATGTTGAAATATTTTTAGTTAGAACATTATAGAATTTCGAGCGCGCAACTAGACATAGAGTAATATTTGGGTAAGTGTTTTCATGAATATCTCTCTATATTATTGTTCATTTAAGAATTTTTCCTTTTTATATTTTGGCTTATGATGTAGTTATATTGAATTGTAGGCAATTGTTTTGAATCAGGATTTAGGTTAATCTAATGAATAAATTTTGTTTCATTTAAATATTCGACACTTATTTCCAAAAACGTAAAACGTAGATTTGTTAATTTGAGGCACAAATAGATTTGGTAATATGAGGCATAAATACATAGATTTGGTAATATGAGGCACATATACATAGATTTGGTAATATGAGGCATAAATACATAGATTTGGTAATATGAGGCACAAATACATAGGTTTAATTTGAGACACATGTCTATCATACGATCTCTCTGCCCACACCCCTTTCCTACCACTCCCTTTATAATGTTATTTAGTATTTAAAACCAGGACTTAAATATATTAACTTATTGCCCTATTCTGTTTATTTTTAATTTTTAATTGGTTTCATGAAATATATCATAAACATTGACCTTTGTCCAGCGAGGCAGATTCAAATAAGCATTATGCTTCTTTCTGTATCGCATATATATGTACATTGTAAAATTTATCTGTAAATAAAGAAATACTGTTTGAAAAAAAACAAAAATAAACAGCCCTTCCATTGCGATTCTGGTAAAACTGATAACACAGCATTCTTGGCCACAATCTCGTAATCCATCTGAACAGTCAGTGGAAAACCAAGAATTCGATCGTCAGTGCCATCGTCTATACACAGAAAGATATCGCATGATTTGGTATGTTGAAACTACTACCAGGTAACGACCGTTTCGTGAGTTGGGTATAAATGCGTGACACTGATAATTAGTTATGTTAATATTAAATAGTGAACGATTTTCATGAATTTATGTCACCGTTAATGAGCTCTTAACACCTTTAATCCCGTAGCGGCATAACTGTAAATCATCAAAGAAAATAAAACGGTGACTTCGTGGGAATTTGTAATTTTCTAGCAGTGACTTCGTGGGAATACATAGATTGGTTAAGTAATATGAGGGACAAATACATAGGTTTATTAATTTGAGACACAAATACATAGATTTGGTAATTTGAGACACAATACATAGATTTGGTAATATGAGGCACAAGTACATATATTTGGTAATTTGAGACACAATACATAGATTTGGTAATATGAGGCATAAATACATAGATTTGGTAATATGAGGCACAAATACATAGATTTGGTAATATGAGGCACAAATACATAGATTTGGTAATATGAGGCACATATACATAGATTTGGTTATATGAGGCACAAATACATAGGTTTGTTAATTTGAGACACAATACATAGATTTGGTAATATGAGGCACAAATACATAGATTTGGTAATTTGAGGCACAAATACATAGATTTGGTAATATGAGGCACAAATACATAGATTTGGTCATTTGAGGCACAAATACATAGATTTGGTAATTTGAGGCACAAATACATAGATTTGGTAATATGAGGCACAAATACATAGATTTGGTAATATGAGGCACAGATACATAGATTTGGTCATTTGAGGCACAAATACATAGATTTGGTAATATGAGGCACAAATACATAGATTTGGTAATTTGAGGCACAAATACATAGATTTGGTCATTTGAGGCACAAATACATAGATTTGGTAATTTGAGGCACAAATACATAGATTTGGTAATATGAGGCACAGATACGTAGATTTGGTCATTTGAGGCACAAATGCATGGATTATATTGCACTATTTGAAGCTAATTCATTTATTTGTCAAGCCGTTGGAAATGTTGACATATTTATATTGTCGTCTCCCCTTTCCATCTGTCTGTCAATATTTTTGTAAGCACAATAGAGTCTACAGTCTTTTTCTGTTTTTAGTGACATTTGTATTATGTTTCGACCAACGTTTTTTTTAAAGAATAAATAGCGACGGCCATCGTGATACACCCACAATTTTAATGGCAGCACAATAGAAACTACAATTTTGAATCGATTTTAATGATTTGTATTAATGAGATCTTGGTGTTATCATTTATATTCATGAAATCTTGATCGAGTTTGTATTTGAAGACATTTTGGTGTAACGGATTTTGAGTAAGGATTTGATTACCGATGCAATGAACATCTGGGTTTTGAAGAGGAACTTGACAGATTAATCAATACGATCCGTAGTGCTCTTGCATCTAAAAATTTGACAAGATAGTGTGTATGCGTATGATTTGACTGGCAAGTTATTTTTATTTGGATCTATTCGAAAGGCTAAATGTCCATATATAAAAATTGGTGATGCTCATATACACAAATTGGTGATGCTAATATTATGTATATATGCTCATATACACAAATTGGTTCGTATACACAAATTGGTGATGCTCATATACATAAATTGGGTATTCCCATATATATAATATATGCTCATATACAAAAATTGGTTCATATACACAAATTGGTGATGTTCATATACACAAATTGGTGATGCTCATATTATGTATATATGTTCATATACACAAATTGGGATTCTCATATACATATGCTCATATACACAAGTTGGTTCGTATACACAGATTGGTGATGCTCATATACACAAATTGGTGATACTCATATACACAAATTGGTGATATCATGTACACAAATTGGTGATGCCATGTTCACAGATTGGCTTGTTGTAGAAATATAGCCATTTTGGATATAAGGGTACTGTCGTCTAGATATTTGCATCGCCTGTGGATACAGTTCCAATTCGGTTATCCGTACCACTTTTCATTAAATAAAATACAAAATACACTGATGGAAGTTCAATTTTAAAAGAGCTATTGGTATAATTAAGATATATATATCCTGTGAAGCAGTATTTGGGCGACTAATTTTATGGAACGGTGTCGTTGCCAAAAGTGCACAACTCAGATTTTTGTTTCTCCTATAAAAAGTTGAAAGTTCACATGGCATGGTTGAGATATTATGAAATTAGCTACGGATACAAATTATTTATAGTAATATGATATGCTATGTCAACCTACAGGTATTTTGTGGCAGCTGTGACTCGTTACTCTGTATCATTACATCTTTTCCCCATTATCATTTAAAGGATGAGCCCCACCAAAAATAAAGCATCAACTCACCAAAAAATTTGAAAATTTGTAAATAGATTTTCTTTTTATACGTCATATTATATCTCATTCAGTGAATTTCTCCTGAACGTTTTATGTATATGGTATTGTCGCTTTAATTGAAGCAAAAGGTTTTACTGGCCGTTTTTAAAGCGTCTAGAAAGACCAGACTACATAAACCTAATAGTGCAAGAGAATGAACATACTGTTAACATTTCTTAATGATTGGGAGCTTCTTCAAACTGAGACGCCATTTTGGATTAACATGGCGACCAAAAAAACTCTTTAATTGCTTATTGTGTTGGATCTGTGTCAGCTCTTGACTTGCTGAAAGCTTAATATCAAATTTTGGTGGTCGAGGAATCCAATTGTGCCAGGAGCAGTTAGCTATACCTGCCTTGGTATTGAATTCCAACAGAAGAACATCAAAGCCTAGAAGATTAAATGGTGTCTCACTCGGGAGAAATTAAAGTTTTCATCTCAAATTTTATCGGATATATTCTTGTATTTGAAACAATGTACACGATAACAAGTGTAGAAAGTGTCCCTAATCTAAACGTAGCAACCACGATCTAAACAAATAACAGTCAAAAGAATTTGATTATTCCAGACATATTAAACATTCGAAAATTGATTTTAATTTGTTTAGACGTAAACTTAACATTTTTGTTTTCCTAGTTTTTTAGTGTCAAATTAAACAAAACTATTTGATTAATTGGTGTTTCTAATGAATTATCATGTATTCTTAATCATATCATTATGTTCTTATTGCATAAATGTCCATGTATGTAAAGTCAGGATAAACAAAAAAGACTTTTTGACCTTTCTTGATCGGTCACTCATTGGAATTCTACTGGTAATTCCCTTCTAATTTAGCTTATTATGAATTAATTATGGACATGTGAGATAAACTGATATTTATCCAAGTCATTAGAACACCTCTACTTTCTATTCATATATGTATTAGCATTCCCATTTTCATAAATGAAAATAAGGGAACCCATCTTTAACCTTTTGGAGAACTGAGTAACGTATCATGATGCTTAGACGCATATAATTACTGAATTACATTTAGTTGGTACACGTTCACCCTTAACTCCATATTTATGTAGGATTAAATAGCCTCTTTAAAACTGTTATTAGGGTGACATTGTATCTAATATTTATTCAATTATTTGCAGAAACATGGCGGCATTTGCAAGATTCAGCTTGATAGCTATGAACCTTATCTTTTTGGTAAGTCGTGTTATTTTAATTCGTTTATTGACTTTGGCAATCATTATGATATGTATTAGCTGGGCGAACCGTAGTCCTAAAAATCTGCCTCTATTCCAACCTCTGATGGAAATTTTGATAGTTGTCGGCTGAAGTAGAGTCAGAAGAAAAAGGCCCTGTTAAATAAAAAAAAAACTGTTATGGAATATAATACATACATAATTTAACAGGGCCTATTTTTCTGTCTCTACAACAGGCGACATCTGTCGAATTAGCTATCAGAGGCTGGTATCAAGAACATTGGCTGGGCGAACCGTTACCTATGGTTCCATGGTATCAAGAACATTAGCTGGATGAACCGTTACCCATAGGTCCATCGTATCAAGAATATAAGCTGAGCTATCGGTTACTGACATTCTCACTCAAGTGGTCCAATTTATACATAACAAACAACGAAATAAAAAGATTGTTAGACTGAAGAATGGGGGAATATTTAACTTAAAATATTGCAGGTATGTGGACTCGCAATGTTTGCCTTTGGATTATGGATGGCTGTTGATGATGGCTACTTGAACAAGTTTGGAGCTTTACTGAATGTTAACAAAAATACTGTGGTGTTTACCGGCATCAAAATATTGTTAGATTCAGTCCAAGAGGCCAGTTTTGTTTTAATGGGATGTGGACTTGGTATATTGATTATCGCCATTTTGGGATTCTGCGGAGCTATTCGACAAACTGTTTGCAGTCTTCTTCTGGTTGGTAAAAATTTATAGTCAATGTACTTTACAGGGTAAACTATGTATCTATCGTGAATGTTGCATAAGGTAAACCGTTAAAGGGACAAGTGCGCCAATTTTTTTTTATCTACTTTTTTTTGCGATTGCAAAAGAATTTCCGTTCGGCAACTGTCTGTGGTTTCCCTAAATTGGCTGTTCTTAACGATGAATGGATTGTACGCCAGACAATCAGAGACCTCGCCAGAAAGACTTTTACACCATGACTTAGTGTTTAGTGACTTTTAATCGAGGCCTCTGATTCAATCAAAACACTGCATTTGTTAACTTCAGTGATACAAGAAAGGTGGCTATTGCATACAATGTATAGGCCTAAGCCGATGGTTGTAATAGCTTGACATCGTGAAGATGTTTGGGGTGATACTGTGACGATCTATATAATATGTTTCAGTATTGCACTATCGTGGTTATTTTGATCATGACTCAACAAGGAGTTGTTATATTTGTAATGACCAACCAACAACAGGTTAAGTATGATTTAAATTTAAGGAATAAAACTTTCCGGTAAAAAATGCGACGTGCATTATGTTGGAGAAACCCAAAACACGTTGAGTACTCGTGTAACCCTTCATAGCTTTGACATTCTCCATATAAAAGATAGACCAATCGCGAATCATTTCAATTCATCCAATCTTTCCATTGATGATCTTCTTGTTATGCCCATAGGAAAGGCTTCTGTATCTACAACAACCAAACAAAAAACCAAGCTATTGCAAAGGGAGAGTTTCTGGATAGACCAATTACAAACAGTTGTACCTAACGGCCTAAATAAACAGCATGACAATCAAATTATACCTTTGATGCAACATACAATTCTATAGCTATAAATGCCTCTGTGATTGTCAAACGCTTTTATGAAGAGCTCCAGGATGAATTCCCTAACATCTATACTAAACGTTAAGTTTGGTGACTGCTTACAAAAGGAATAAAAATCTGAGTAATGTTCTTGTCCATAATAGATCGCTTTGCATTTTTAGATTATTTGTTTAGCTTGTAAATTATTTCTTATCAAATTAATGTATTCTAATCCATGATCTCTACTTGTGACCTAGGCCAGTGCTTCTATAAGAGAGTATCTCCTATAACACCCTACACAAATATTTTGGGGATTCCTGTGTAAAGGAATAAAAGATTTTTTTTTTCGAGCAGACAGTATTCACACCCAACTTTGTGTTTTGTCTTGCGAGTCCTAAAGGGATTGTAAAGAGGGATATCGGGGATACTGATAGCATCAATTTACAATTTACATTTCAATTTTCAATCAGACGTCTGTGGTTCCTGCAATTACACTAAAACTATGTGTATGATGACTAATTGCAACTTGATGCTACCAGTGTCCCCAATACACATAAATTCTATTTAGAAAACCTCTTTACAATCCCTTTAAAGAGATAGTAAGCTATTGCGAACTTCGTTTTATAGCTTGACTGCAATAGTTAGCAGTTTGTAAATGCAGCCATTTGATGGATACGCTAACGAATACAGAAATCAGTGCTTTCAACAGAAAGTCTATAATGATTACGAAACAATGTTTACAGTCTTTCTGTCGAGGGCTCTGATTGGCTGTACTGACGAACAATCCAACCAACTCACTGCAATCTGTGATACAGGAATAGTGGCTATTGCAATCAAGGTATAAAACGGAGTTTGTTATTGCGTGACATTGTGAAGATAGGAAATATCATGCTCATAAACCCTATGAACCACTCCTTGGGGGGTACATAATATATGAATATTGAAATATTACAGGTGAAAGAGGCTACTGGCAAAAAGACCGTGGAAATGCTTTCTAAGCAATATGAAAAGACCTATGACACATCAAACACTGCATCGATCTTTTTAGATTATTATCAGGTCGAAGTAAGTTCGTTCGCCTCTTTCTCGTCCTCACCATCGTCATCATCACCATCATCACCTTTTCACCATAATCCTGACCCTCTTCGTTTTAATCTTCCTCCTCATCATCATCATCTTCACCATCATCACCTTTTCACCATCATTCTTACTCTCCTAGTCTTCCTCATCATCCTTTTCACCATAATCCTCACCATCTTCGTTTTCATCTTCCTCCTCCTCATCATCATCATCACCATTATCACCTTTACACCATAATCCTCATCCTCATCCTCTTCGTCTTCCTCAGCATCCTTTTCACCATAATCCTCACCCTCTTCGTTTTCATCTTCCTCCTCATCATCATCATCATCACCATTATCACCTTTTCACTATAATCCTCACCCTCTTCGTCTTCCTCCTCCTCATCATCATCACCATAATCACCTTTTCACTATAATCATCACCCTCTTCGTCTTTCTCCTCCTCCTCATCATCACCATAATCACCTTTTCACCATAATCCTCACACTCTTCGTCTTCCTCCTCCTCCTCCTCATCATCATCATCATGGTATGAATAAGGTCTTTGGAGGGACTCAGCTAGACAGTATCAATAGTATTGTCTATTTAATCCATATATAATAGTGATCCTGAATCACAGGTTCAGATAGTGCCATGGTCTTTTCTACCCTGTCTTTTCGATTTCTCCCTATCAATCATGGCGTTCTAACCGATCTTTCGACAGGGTAGGGTATGCTACTGGTTTGGCAAACCTTTCCCCATTGCACGCCGTGTTCGTCTGCATTAGTTGATTAGTAAGGAGGTAAGGCATGGAATTCTATATCATTGCCACAGTGGGAATCAATTATTTTTCTATTTTAGAACATGTGCTGTGGTATTAACGGACCAACTGATTACGACAAATTCACTAAATGGAGAGAGAATTTCAAGCAAGACAATATTAGTGGTAAATCAATCGTGCCGATATCGTGCTGTGGTCAACAAAATTCAACCAAATCATATCTGTTCCTAGAATCAGACGGTTCATGTCCGAACAATGGCGGAACACAGGATGTAAGCATCAATTTTAAATCGTTATTGGGACCGCAGTGTTTCTGTGAGTTAGATGTTTGTGCGTTTACTTGAAGGTCTAGAGTTCAATCCCGGCATAGATCAAGATATTTTCAATCCGCTTTCCCTTGATAAAATGTCGTATACCATTGCTGAAGGAACGTGCTAGTCGTTCAATTGGTGAAATGGGACAATCCACCTAGGCACTGTGTGATACTGGCTGTGCACGATAAAGATCCATAGAAATTATATAGTCGAAAAAAGATTA